CTCCCCACGCTCCCCCACCCCCCACCCCCCCCGCATCCCCACCAAAAGATGGGTTATTAGCACTGCACTCACAGTGGGATCAATCAGAAAAGTGGAAAAACAAAGAAACAAATCTGTCAGCCAGAAACACCAGACAGTACAGTACTGCAGTTAATGATCAAACCTCCATGTCACGTAACCAGGAGATCTTTGACAGAAAACCCTTTCCCCCACATTTGTCCCACAGGTAGAAGTGTGTTGATACACACAGTTAATGACTCACATTATAAAAACAAGATAAAAACTATTATTCGTTTCTCTTAATTTGAGGAATTTCACACCTGGAACATTTTTTTACAAACTACATCAGAAACAAATGACCTCGTTGTAAGGACATTCTGAATCATAAACGCAATCACTGGGCCGGCTTCCCATCTTTAACTGCCTGTTGTTGTCTGTTGCACCTGCACTTTTAATGTAGCACAGTTGAAAGAGCATGTGTGGTCACTCTGTGTAACCAACTAACCCTAATCATTAATCCACACTTCATGTTTCCACAGGAACTAATGATAATTACACAGCTTGATTAAACAGGACCTATAACACATTTACCTCTGACACACTTTAAACAATCCCATGCAGGAGGACACTGCACAATATAGTTGCACGTATGACATTTAGCTTAGATCAAAGTCTGTTTTGATCAAGTGTCAGGAAACTTTCTCTGTTAGATAGGACTGTAAAAAATGCTGTTAGTTCATACCCGTTTCCTAACACACAAAACAATTCAAATAAAGATCAAATAAAGGTCTGATCAAATTTAAAATCAAATACGAGATCTCAAGTTTTAAAAGTTTTACTCGCAGCAAGGAGTGCAGAACAATGGTTACATTCAGAACTGCACTGAGGAACAGTTTTTCTTTTACACACAAACTTCAATGGTCAGTACCGTACAGTATAAATTGATATGGAAACTTAACACAATGAATATATATTGTAAAGATTGAATAAATATATTTACAACATCTTAACATTTTCTTTGCAGTATAATTGCTGCACTGTAACTTTGAGTTCCTCCACTGCCACCCACTGGGTGCAGGTGACCTAGACATGTCTAATACTAACCTTTGTTCATCTACATTTTGCACATAACCTTGACCACAATCAATAATATCCATTGCCACAGTAGTTTCTTAGAGTACACTATATATAGAGAGTATTTTTAAATGTATTCTAAATACAATTTACTTTAGAATAAACAATACATTGCTTACATGCACTGTTGCTGGATGGTATTATGCTACACATTTTTCTATTTCCATTGATACAGTATTACCAAAATGAGGCTTTAAAAAAAAACTTTACGCTTCACTAATATCCTGTAAAGAGAGGAGTGGAACATTTAACCAAAGTGTGGATGTATGACCTGACCTTGTTAAGAACCATGTGTATTTTGGCAGGTGGTGGTGGTTGTGGTACAACAACCTGACGTGTCTCTGATAAGAAATATCTCTGTGCATTTGCCACGTTGTCCAACAGACGGCACATTTGCAGGATCTACTCCAAAACTGTTCCCTTCCTGAAAAGACCCAGCAGGGTACATATGATCTGAGCCATGTCTGGACTGAACGCATCTCTTGGGTACTTCCTGGCTGTTGTGGTTTTTGCAGCCACAGCTCGGACACTTCTTCTAAAATGGCCCAAGTTTAGCTTTATGATGGAATTCGCCTCCTCCTTCATGCTGGTGGCTTGTTGGCTGGAGTTGCAGACCATAGTGGAGGTCGGCGAGTGGGCCGGAGGCCTGGGCATGGACGTTACTCTGACCATGCTGTTTGATATATATGGACGTTACTCTGACCATGCTGTTTGCACTGCTGCTATCCCAGGGTATAATCTGTGGTGGGGCTTCAGGGAATCCCACTGTAGTTGCTGCCAAGTGAGGCAGCATGTTTTAGGACACAATCTTGTACGAAGGTTCTTACAGCTGGAGGCCACAACTCTTCCTACTCTGCTTGCTGTCCTCTGTCAGTTCTTCGGGGCTTTTGTAGCCCTTTATGTTGCTGTATATTACTGGAACCTGGAGCTGACAGACATGCACATGATTAAGAATCTGATGGCCAGAGAATGCAGCACCTCCCTGATGGTCTCTCTGCTTCAGGGTTTCTTCACAGAGTTTGTCTGTGCCCTCAGTTTTCACCTCATCCATCTAAACCTGCAACGCCGCTCTGCTCTGATCCAGGTTCCTCTGGTTGCTGTGCTACTTACATTTCTGTCTCATTCAGGTACGTGTCAAAAATAGTTGTACAAATCATCTCCAAATTACAGTTTGTAAACTCTATGTGGAAGAAAACACAGAAACTGAACCCTGCACCATGATAGAGATCTTAAGAACGGCTCTGGAATTAGAATGTTATCTCACTCCTACAGTATGTCATGTGAAGGCTAAATGATATCACTGAAGTTACAGAAATAACCCTAGTAATTTTAACAATCCTAAATGCAAACGGGTAAAAATATTAAATATGGCATTGAATATGTGAAGTACTCTAATGCACTCAGACCTTCAGCCTGAACAGAAGGCAGACTGTACGGCTCACTAAATGTGTGCTTTGTAACTCAAAGGAACTCTGATTTACTTACTTTTTGCATTCCATTCAAACTTTTTACGTCTCATATACAGGTCACTGGACAGTAGCAGGAAAACAAAAAACAAGAAATTATTTTTGGCTGTCTTCTGTTGTCTACAATCAGATTAGCAGCTACGCTACTCACTTCTGATGATGTACCAATCAAATGTAACCAAACAGAAAAAGAAATGCCTTCTGCTACAAGAAAAAGTCATTCACTGCCCCACTTCAGATACAGGTTCACGACTACAGTTGATTTGCCTGTGTTAAATACTCTCGGCATAATACAGTACATTTTATGGTCTTTATTTGAGGTGCCATGTGGCCCAGTGGTTAAAAGAACAGGCCTGTTATAGGTTTGAATCCCATTCCAGGAAAAGCTGTGGTGAATTGAGCAAGGACCCCAATCCACGGCACCCATGGGACATATTGCTGTTTCACTATTTTCTCTTATTGTGTCATAGTGGGCTAATTGCACTGATTTGTAATTTGTTTTTTTGAGAAAGGAATTTCATTTATATAGGAACACTGTTTTTTTTTTGTTCAGTGCCAGTCAAATTTTGTGATGTATATGTACAATAACAAATAAAGCTTTTCTGTTTATATACGACCATGAACATGAACCCAGTCAGTTTCAGGTCAGCTACAGTTTCATGCATTCTTTTCACCAAGAGTTTGTATAACAACAGATGTATAAGACATTGGGGAGAAAAAAAAAAGTAATAACCTTAACTTTTTTTTGTCATTTTCCAGCCAGAGGCTACACTTCAGCTTACATAAACCCATCACTGGCTTATGGCCTCACCTTCCACTGTCCTGGATTCACACTTGCCCAGTATGCACTGGTTTACTGGCTGGGCCCTCTTACAGGTAGATAGCAATGATCATTGTCATAGTCATTTTTTTTTTTTTTTTTTGAATCACACTGCTCACTTGCTCACTGTAAACATGTATGTTTTTTAGGAATGGCCCTGGCTCTTCTCTTGTACATGGGTCATATTCCAAGACTTTTTGCCAGGAACCTTTTCTATTTGCAAAAAACGCGATTTAAAGTTCCCAAAGGAGACAAAGGAGAAAAGAAGAAGATGTGAATCAAACTACCGACTGCCCTTTAGGCTAGGAAATGATCAAGATGTTTACTTCAACTAAACAAGCATGTACAAACAATGTGGTACATTTCAAAGAACCAAAACCAAAACGTATTGATAACTTTGATTGATGTCCGCCTTTCTAAACTGAATTAAAACAAAAAAACTCATCAAGCTACAGATTGTTAATAAAATAATTTATAGGACAAAATGCTATAAAAAATAAAAATTAATAATAAAATAATTCTTAGATTCACTTAGTAACAGGGCTGTGAAGAAGTCTCCCAAAAATATCAATAAAGTAATTGGTGTAAAACAGGAGTATAAATGTTCCTTTCATGTTTTGGTGATGCTCTGAGTGGCACTGGATTTGGACGTCTGAGCCTCAATAGGTTTTGTGTCTTGTGTCATGCCTTCAGTGCAATGATCGGGACCTGTGGACAGGATGGAGTGGAAAGAACCAGTGATACAGTTGTTGAAGTTTTGTATTGTCTTCCCAGAAGAAGAATTATAAGAATATGCAGTGAATAAATATAAAGGAATATTACTATGTTACACTAAAAGTGTTGGCACCTGGTTGCCCTTGATTCTCCTGCTGAGCTTCTGGTCGATTGACCCATAAACAATAATCTGGATTATTCTTCAGCCTCTTGGTCTGCCCACAGCTGAGACACCTCACTACAGTGAAGCGATTATTGCCCTTTTTTCCTAAGAAATAATGGACAACACAGAAACAGAAATCCAGTTTGAGTATTTAGTGCAGGGTAAGAAACGGAACAGATGACAGCTTTAATGACACTCAGCTTCTTTATAGCAAACTTACTTCTTTGTCTTGTTGTAGCAGTGACCCCAGGTATAAGCAAAGAGTAGCACTTCTTACACACAGTTCTCTTCACTGATGGATCTCTGAAAACAGTAATACCGATGTCAAAAACAGACATCTTTTAGATTATTGTAATTGAAATTATTGTTTTTAACAAATGTAGTTGTTGATTTATAATCAATAATTCAACCACACTCAGTGCAGTAGGCCACTGAAAATAAATGTGCCTTTTGAATAAATTCTTATAAACAACAATTTTTAAAACAGTGCTCTTAGGACAACTAAAATTTACTCTAACGTTCAAGGTTACAAGGTAATAGAACATTTGTACAGATGGAGAAATTGTACATCGTATTTTAAAACATTTTATTTTTTTGTTTCCGAAAATATGTTTAATACCAGTGTTTTAGCTGTATTAAGAATGGAACTGTTCAAAATCTTTACAATGCTACCTTTAAAACAATACTCTACGACAGAAACTGAATAGCATAGAAATCCATAAAAACAAGGTTTATTTAGCTTACTGTCTGAGAACTAATCGTTTTGCTATGTTTTTCTGAGTGTAAACGTAGAACCGAGCCAGCTCCATATTCGGGGGATTCTGTGACAGAACACAATGTGCAGCCTGCAGTGACAAAGTACACAAAACACTGGTAAATACACGAGGAATAATTCTAAGAAGTCGATTTTAAATAGTCTTTAAAATCCTTACCTGGTACAGAAAGTTTAATCTCTGATAAGCCTCTTTGTCTTTTAGCGGTTGTGACATTGTGGAGATTAAAAGAACAAGTTCACTTTTCCGCCGATCTTAAAAGCTATTTCACTCTTGAATTTACGGATATTTCACCATACTCTACCGGGTCAACCTTTCAAAATAAAAGCTGCAAAGGGTATGTCCTTTCAAGATAAAGGTACGCTGTTCTAATGTGAACTGGTATCTAAAGATACATTCTCCAGATAGCTTAAAGTATAAATAAAGAATGGAAATAATAAAGAGAAATAAATGAAAGACAAATCATGTATTTTAATAGTATTTTATCATACTAACCTGATTTATTTTGACTGTATGTGCTGCCGTAACAAAAATGTTTATAAAATGATGGATCAGGTATTTTTCTTTGAAAAGTATCATAAGAGAAAATCAATTATTTTTTAAATAAGTGACTGTACTTTGCTGGGGTTAGAATAAGTGTTGGGCATATTATTTTTTAAAAATCGTGAAAAAATGCCAAGAAAACCCCCCAGAAATGCTTGTTTATGCCACATAACATGCTGCCAAGTGACTAATTTGTGCTAAAAACTCTTTTAGCACAAATATTTTATATGAATATTTCAAAATATCACCAAAAACATGCCTTACTATAGCTTTACCATCGTGAAACATCCCAAAAATAAAAAGTCCCAGAAATGCCTTAAAATACAAGATTGTGTCCTAAAACATGCTGCCTCACTTGGCAGCAACTACAGTGGGATTCCCTGAAGCCCCACCACAGATTATACCCTGGGATAGCAGCAGTGCAAACAGCATGGTCAGAGTAACGTCCATATATATATATTTTGTGTTGAAAACTCCAAAAAGCATTTTATATTAACATTTTGACATGAACAGGTATGATGGTTTTTGGAGTTTGGTTGTAACCATGTGCCATACAGCTCAGTCTCTGAAGAATTTAAGGAAATCACACAAGTGTAGAGTTAGGTGTGTAGTCAAATTTAAGGGGAGAAAAAAAAAAAATCACAATTTCACAGTCAGTGGTGGAAAGAGTACTAACTACTATTAACTATTCTACTTAAAAGTACTATTGATGATGAAGGTTTAATTTAACATCACCTAGCAGTTAAAGCCTTGGGCAAGACATAGCACTGACCTTTGAAATATTATCTGGAAAAATAATGAAAGCCACAGCAGTCAGTTTGAACATAACGCTATGTGTCACAATTACCTTACCTGATTTCAACCCAGGTCACAAGGACAGATGTATCCCCTTAACGGCCATTAACGGCCATTTTTCCTCTACTTTTCCATTATTTTCAAACATACTTATTATTCTATGACCTATAACTGTACTTTTACTATTTTTTACTAGTCCAAAAACAAGTTTCCTCTTGTTGATTGAATGACTCAAATTGTAAGTGGCTTTGGATAAAAGTGTCTGCTAAATGTATTGTAGTACATTCAATTAGTAATATTTCATTTACTTCAAAACATCTGTTCATGTGCATTAAATGTTTGAATGGTCTGTCTTAATCTGTTAAAATAACAGCATACCTTCACACAAACCTGGATGCATTGCAGTAATGAGAAAGATGTCATAAAATACAAAGCAATGTAAATAAAATGAATTTCTTTATTAGAAATTCATGTTTTAATACTACAATTACTTCCATGGTGTACTAAAGATTTCATGAAAATGAATCAAAAATAAGGAAAACTAGAGTGTTACTGTTACAAAAAAGTCCAATAATTAAAGTCCAATAAATACCTCAAAATGCAAGTTTATGCCCCAAGACATACTCCAAGTGAATAATTTGTGCTAAAAACCTCTATTTTTTATTTACAGTAAAATGCTAAGTAGTAAAAAGTAAGCTATAAGTAAAAAGCTAAGTTGAAAAAACCTGCCACAACACTTACAAAGTTCTTAAAAAGCAACCACAATCCTTCCACAACGAATGAAATAACTTGACTTTTAAGCAAAAACACTCCACATTTACAAAGTCCACAGATACACATTTCAATACAAGTCAAATTACAACAATAACTCTCAGCTTTATTTTAACACTTCAGGTAAAGATGGACAGATCACATACTCACCACCAGGTGTGCTCACAGGATTCAACAACGGTCCCATCATCAGTAGTGGAACAGCTTCATTAAACCTCTTCTTTTGGCGTGGTGTGTGTGCTGCTACACCTGAACGGATTTACTTAAACATACGTGTACCAGCGGGCACCCGCGCTTAAATAATGAAATGTGTAAATTTGTACCCTCGATAATAATGTGCCGTCTTCTTCGTGGATGTCTCATCGTTACACTGCCCTACAAAGTGCAAGAACGGCTTTAAAGCAAACGTTCCCCACAGAACAAGCCGCTTCTTCACTAACACACGTGGCTAAAGACGCAACACCCAAAATGTTTGGACCACTCAAACCAAACGGTCTTCCTGCACATATTTAGTGGTCAAATAACAAAGCGCTATCTCGTACAATTCAATAACATCCTGACTGAAGCGACACGTGCGGCTCAAACAGGCAACTGTTTAGCACCGGCTGTTTAGAACCGGCTGCCCCACTCCGCGGTTCGGCAGCGTGCATACAATTTTATCTGAATATTTCAAAATATCACAAAAAACAATCAAGACTAAAAAAATAAATGAAATAATAAAAAGTCTCAGAAATGAAAGTTTATGCACCAAAACATGCTGTGAACAGTTATTCAAAAATTTTTCAAATTTAGCATGTCATTTTTGTTCAGATGTTGAAAAATTATGTTTTTTCACGCCGTTAGTTCCATCACTGGTTTACACATAGGACAAAAAAATGTCATGTTAAATATTATAATAATAAAACTAGACAGAAAACTAAGTCATCTTTATAAATATGAGTCTACACCATTAACTTCAGAATCAAAGTTGAAGCCAATGCTCAAGTCGGAACTCAAGTAAAGTCCTGGGCTTTAGGACTAAGACACTGCTTTTTCATAACATAAAAGCACATCATTCATTTTCAGACCCCAAACTCAAAGAAAGAATAACTGTATTTATTTTAAGCGCAGACAAGGTTGTTAGGCGTCCAGGTTAGGAAAAAACAAACAAACAAACAGACAGTTAACAAATTGTCTTATCCAGCTTTCAACAGCTAACCTCTAGGTTACAGCTGCCTTTTCTGTTGAAACTGAGTATTAAGTACACAATATACACAAAAGCTTATTTGTCTAGTCCAGAAGAACACAAACGACAGATTTCACATACAAAGCTTATTTTTAATAATAACAATAGAGAAAATATAAACCCTGTCCATCTAACAATTTCATTGGCCTGTAAGGTGCAGCTTTGATACCAGGAGTTTAAATGATGCAGGCACAGTAGGTCTGTCAGGCGTTGCAATTGGAAAAAGACAAAACTGCAGCAAGAGTTCAAGATAATGAACTCGCCCCAAATGTTTTTCTATAAAACGTTTTGAGAAAATGTCCATAAAAACACGAGACAGAGTGAAAATAGCAAGAGTGTTCTTTGAGAGAGACCCACTACATCGCATGGAGGGAAACAAATATGAAATTCAAGTATCAAAATAACTAAGACACCGACAAGTTGAAAAGGTCAATTACAAAGGTAGTAAAAATCACGGGAAAAGAGACACAGACACAATCAACAATACATTAGGCAACGTCTTGTATTTAAGGCAGTTGATTAAAAAACTAAATAGAACTAGGCATCTTCTTCATTCCAAGTTAAATACAAGCCTAGCCCTAACTTGTCACCTGGAGATACTTTGTACAAAGCAACTAGGACTGTGTCTGACACTTAGCATTGGGTCTGACTTGTCTTCCGACAACTGAGTAAGAGTTCATTTGGACAGCGGTGGAGTTGTGCTCGATGTTTTTTGGTCTTCTTCACAGTGAGGTTTGTTAGGGCTTCTAAGGCTGGTGCATCAAGGGTGGCAGGTCACTCTCAGCCTATTGTCTGGCACAAAATCTAAATCGTTGGCACAGAAAATCTGTGCACAGCATGGAGAGGCAGGGCAGAAGGTTTCATCAGCTAACGATTGCCTTTCATGGCCTCCTTGGCTGCCAGGATGAGGGGCGTGAGGCTGGAGAGAGGCTTGGCCAGCTTTAGGAACGGATGCTGCATGGCAAGAATAAAAAAGAACGGATTAAAAACATGATGAGAATGAATGTACTTTAACATTTCTCCCCCCCCAAAAAACAAACAAACTGAAAAAAGAAAAAGAAAGACCTGAAGCAGTTCTTTGCCTCCACCTCGTTTCTCTACATCCATTTCCAGGCAGCGGTTGAGAAAATCTCTGAAGACTGGAGACAGTTTCTCAGGGTTCTGAAGCTCTGGTGTGCCATTTGTGGCTATTAGGTATAATGCCTGTCAAATGTAAAGAGATGTTTGTACAAACCCCACCATTAGTCAGTCATTTGGACTTTTTAATGCAATCAAAACATATGTCTATTGTGAATGCATCGTGACCTTTGAAAAGAAGTACAGACTTTGTCAACCTACAGCACCTGTCATTATTAATTATTATAATTATTATTAATCTGACTTTTAACTTTTTTCTCTTGATACAAATAAATTACAGTCCCTTATTTGTCCAACAACCGGGAAATTTCGCAGAGTGAGTCTTCGAAACTCACAGACTGCCAGAGGAGGCACCATTAAATATGTGGTTCCACTGGGGCTTGAACAGAGAACCATGGTGTAAAGGCAGATATGATAACAGCTAGCCTAAGTACTGAGTGTTACTGGTGTAAATGTTTTAGTCTTACCTCGCCAAAAAGCGCAACAGTATTAATGGACAAAAATACTAAAGACATCTGCTTGACCTATTTCCTGGTGCATACATTTTAAGGTGAAACAAAACAGCAGAATCAGGTATCTAATAAATCTTCCACTAAATGCACCAACTTCACAGAAAATAGGGTTTTGATATTTGAATGTGAAAATAAGAATTTAAAGAAGCAACAGTTTCTAATGCAGATGTACGACATCCTACAGTCCAGACGAAACAAGGATAACTGCCAGGATTTAATTGGAGCTGACAATGTTCTCCACTCACTCTCAGTGGGTTCTCATTCAGGTAAGGAGGCTCTCCTTCAACCATCTCAATGGCCATTATACCCAGGGACCAAATGTCCACCTTAGGTCCGTAAGCCTTCCTGGTCACCACCTCAGGGGCCATCCAGTACGGTGTTCCTACCATGGTGCTGCGTTTACTTTGCTCTGGTGTGATCTGGGCGCAGAAGCCAAAATCCGCTGTCCAAAGAGACAAGAGATGATTAAACACATGCTACAATGACACCGTTTAATACATTTCAAACATCAGTTTGGTGGAAATGCTGTGCAGGACTTACTCAACTTGACAGAGCCGTCCATTCCCAGTAACACATTGTCACTTTTAATGTCTCTGTGGATAACTTGGTTTGCATGTAGGAAATCCAATGCTTGTAAACACTGTGGATACGCAGACATTTGTTGGATGAAATATTGAAACATGAGCTTTTCTTAAAATTATGTCTTATTTGATATTTTTTATTATGGTTGAAGGGGAGTTTAAAGATATTTAACACTCAGAGCAGTCTGAAGTGTATTTCAGAAATGTGACTCATCCTTAGGGCATTTGACCGTAAAAAATAGCTGGAATGGAATTTTGTTTTTTATTTTCCATAAATACATAAAACAGAGAAGTACACTTTTCAAATCGCACTTTGACACGTTACATCAAATTATTATTTTTATGTGCTTTGAAAACTCAAATTTTTGGTTCAATTAGTTTAACAATGTAGGTACTGTATTTCTTTTTATGTATGGATTTATTTCTGATTTGGAAGGAAAATAAAGCTTTTTGAGCAGAGTTTTTAAAGCCAAATTATACCAATGTTATGACACCTAACTTGATTATTTGTCTATTTATTTAAATAGGCCATAAAAAGGTATGGGTTCACATCATGCGACCTCACTTCCTGTCAGATGTTGCACTTACCTCTCGGCACACAGCAGCTATCTGGGCTTCATCCATACAGGTCTCTGTAACCACATCTGTCAGCGAGCCCCCAGCCAGATACTCCATCACCACAAACAGCTCCTCCCCCATTAGGAAACTAACACATGTGTAAAGGTCAGACCTCTTTTTCTGATCACTTTGTAGTGGTTTGTAGTCACATGCAGTACACCTACAGTAATCAAACAGCAGGTTTACCTGTCTAAAAAGTTGACAATGTTGGGGTTCTTCAACTCCTTCATCACTAAAATCTCATTGATGATCAGTTCCTTTTTCGGCTGCTTTTGCAGGTTAATCTGTTTAATAGCAACCTGTGGACGATATAAGACTACAAACATTAGGATGTTTTATGTCACTGAATAACTGGACTTATGCTATAACTAAGTTTACTATTCAATACAGAGCCTGTTTAATAACTTTAATTTGTGGGGCAGTATTTAAAAAAAAAAGAGTCCTTCTCACCTCCTGTCCTGTGGCAACGTCAATGGCCGTGAACACTGTTCCTGATGCTCTGTAAGGACGAAGAGTGTGTGTAAGTTTATCTTGAGAATAGACTCATACGATTATTATCAGGCATTTTTGTTTTTCTTGCTTAGGAGCTGCTTTCTTTGAAGTCCCCACCTCTGGCTTTAACAACAGAACTGCAAGTACTGGCTTTCAGAAGTTTTTTTTATAACAGGAACTGCACACCAGGCTCGCTTAGCTTTGTCAATAAGAGACTGCTGATTCGTGGGATGCACTTTTCTGACTGATCAATACAAGATGTACCAACTGGAGAAAGACACTCAAATCTGATGGAAATACTGCCTCAAAATTTGACATTTACAAAAATAAACCTAATGTAATAAAACCACAGTAAGATCTGAGAGTACCATTGAGTACATTGTGGTTGGACTTAAACCACAATGTAGAGATTTGTTGCTAATACCAGGCTGCAACATGTCATCACTAATTCATGAATATTTGATCAACTTATGAACAAAGGTGACTCATTGAAATACAACCATTAGCTGCAGTATAAACATTGAATCTCTGGACTCACCCTTGTCCAATCTTTTCATATCTGGTATATTTTTTCTTTGGATCTCCGATGCTCACTATTGTCCCTGTAAAAATACACAAATGCAATATATAAAACCATGAGATAAAATAAATGTGTGTGACTGAACCATTCTAAACAACAGATTGGATTATTCATATTTTTCAGCACTCTATTTATCCTCTATGTCATATGTGTCAAACTCAAGGCCTGGGGGCCAAATGCGGCCCACCAGGCCGTTTTGTGTGGCCCACGGGAGCTTAAAAAGCATTCACTAAAGTCTATATATTCTATACATTTTTCCATTTACAACTGGCCCTTTAAGGGGAATTGTATTGCTGATGTGGCCCCCTGTGAAAATGAGTTTGACACCCCTGCTCTATGTGATAGAACTCTGCAATTATTCCATCAGTGAAACATCGGTAATCAACAGTGCACACGCAGGAAAGGTAGATCAAATCTTTTTACAGGGACCAGGAAGCAGCAGAAATTTGGTGCTTGTGTTTGATTTTGGAATATTTCTCACAAGGAAACCAGTTATGAACCGGTAAAATATGTTGTCTTCCTGTTTACGACAATTTAAGAAATGATGTTTACTCAGTTTATCCATTATCTCTTCATCGGACATCTTGCCCTTCTTCTTCTGTCTGTCTACGCCCTTGGAGGCAGAGTCTCCATCGGGACACGTGCTTGGTGCAGGGATTGGGTCGATAACAGAGCGAGTGTACACCTGTACGACAAAATAAAAACCAGGTACCACAAGGAAGTAAATGAAAAAAAAAATCTACATACACAGGAGTTCTCCACTGATGACTCCTGGGGCTGGTTATTATGATGTAAAACTGTGACAGGCCACCTACACTCTTTGTGTGTTCTGGTCTTGGAGCCACAACAGGAGGAGGAGCTTCATCGTCATCATCATCATCAATGTCTTTGATATTTGGAGATGAGGGCTCTGCGCCTTTTTTAACAGGCTAATTCAGAATCATAAAAAAAACATTTTCAACAATTTCAAGTAACATATGGCTTAGTACAAAACAGCAGGACTGTATTTTTGCATATTCAGTACTTTGTGCCACACTAGCTCCTCTGGTGGACAGGACCATAAGATATGGGCCAGTCGTTTCATTCCACATGTATTAGTGAGCCTTAGCTGCTAATGACCCTCTCACCAACTCACTTCCTTGAACCATTGTAGACCAGATTGCCCCACTCTAGCTACAGTTTTTGAGATGCTCTGACTAAGTCGTTGGGCCATCATAATTTGTTGTCAAAGAAACTCAAAACTTTTGGCACATTTTCCTGCTTCAAGATGAACATCCTTCCATAACATATCTGCACCCACTGACAGGTGCCATAATTAAGAGGAAATGTAATACTTACAGACTGAGGCCCTGGAGTAAATGCATCTTTTTCTGTAAACATAAAAACAGAATTTCTTTTATCAGATAAAATGCAGTTGGACAAACACAGATAAAATCCACCACGGCGCTCACGGTGACTTACCAGAGGACGAGAAGCTGAGGTACTTCTGACGACTGTTGCCTGTCGAGTCGTAGAACTTGAGAACGTCAAGCACAGCCTGTGGGTTCTTCTTCTGCTCTGACTTTGTGATGTTTGAGGTCTGGAGTAGTCGAGCCCACTGTTCAGGCATACCCTGCGGAGAACAAAATGTAGAACAACATATGAGACATCATAAAGGGCAGAACATTACAAAGGGCACATTAGGGACAGCAGTAACTTACAGTGAACTCCCCTGTGACAGCATCAAAACCAACATGTATGGTGTGTTCAAAATCAGAGGGTGGAGAAATTTCTGGTCTCTCTTTGTCTCTGTCCTTCTTCCTTCCACCTGGAAGTAAACAGACCCTCATAAACCATCAGGGGAAATAACCTTTCGACTATTAACCACTAACAAGAAAACAACAGGTTTACAAAATGTTTTTCTTTGTCCGTCTTACTTTTCTCAGCTCCAGAAAAGATTGAGATGATCTTCTTGCGAGGTTTTCTCTCTTCAGGCACAGAGGGCAGGGGCTTAGTGCTGTGGTTGGCAGAAAGTGAGTCTTTGCCAGAGCTGGTGCTAAAGATGGCGCTGCTCATCCTGACAGGAGGGGCGGGGGGTTTATCTTCAGGGTCTCCGTTATCACACATGGTAAAAAGTTATCAAGGAGATTTTTCTGGGCGAGCTGTGTAATGATGGTGAGAGTGGCACACAGAGAGGGAGCGGGCTGCTCTCACATCAGCTGGAGGCACGGGTGTGCTCATGCACGTTGAGAGGATGAGCCAAGGATGAGAGCAGATGATACACCAAACACCAGCTGAAAACAATCAGAAGTTTTAAAAATATCAGAAATTTCACTTCCACAAAAGAGATGAAAAATTAGGACTAGCCCACAGAAGACAATATCCTATTGTAAGTAATACATTTTAAAAAGCCCTCAATTTACAAGAACAGGTCAGAATATATGGCATATATGTTTCAGCACTACCCTGCTAGAGGTTTATCTGGTATCAGGTGGCAATTAACATTTAAACAATGTATCAACAGTGCAGTAACTACACAAACAGATCAAAGGTTCAAGTCCAGTTGATCGTCTGTTTTTATGGAGTTGCATGTTCATCTCCTGTGGGTGTAAGTTTTCATATTTCCTCCCTCAGTGTAAAAACACAGACTGGAGATTGGGTTGACTGGCCACTCTAGAACAGGAATCCCAAACTCAAATGAGGAGAGGGCCAACTCCATTCACAGCTGAATATGGGACATGTACATTTTCATATAAAGCACTCTCTTATTCATTAATTCAATTGAGATTTTAAGTCCCTTTATATCTCAACAGGACGTGTATTTTTGTTTCTGAATACGGGAGATTATGTTTTTCAAGGGACATTTAGCAAAGTTAGTGCTGCTCGGTGTTCAATACACCCAACCCCCCTCCCCCCCAGATTGTATAGTAGAAGTACAAACAGCTAGTACACTTTTATATTATTCTTAATATTTATTTTTCTTTTTTATTTATTATTCTTAAATAACTTACTCAAGCATTTTAATAATTTAAAAATTGAAAGAAAAAAAACTATTAACATGGGTCAGATGTGAAAACGTTGCAGGCCGCAAGTGGCCGCTGAGTTTGAGAGCACTGCTCTAGAGGGACCATATAAAATTCAATGTTTCCCTGTGTGTACTGCATTTCACTAGATAAAATGTTATGAAGCACTTTCTGACTAAGATATAGATTAAGAAGATTAAAGGCCTTTATTCGGCACACAATGGGGAAATTAACAAAAAAAGTTAAACTGTATATGATGTACTGACTTCTCATTATTTTAGTAAAAGGATGAAAAGACATTTTATGTTTGTGTTGACAGTTGGTCGGAGGGTCAATTTGGGGGGTCCTACGGTTGGCAGGTACAAAACCTTACTATTAAAGCAGCTGCAAACAAATAAAAATAAATAGCAGGGTTTAGAATCATTTCAGTGTTTCAGTGTTAAATGTTAGTATAATAAAATTAATAAAAAAAATGGATGTGCAACAATTAGACATTAAGCAAATTAATAAGTCTGGTTGTGTGTTGGGTCAGGGATTGTGAGTGACGAATTGATGAATGCTGAAGGTGACAACAGCGTTTAAAAGTAAATACGTTGACATTGTATTTAGAACTCAAAGTAAACAAAAATAAAACAATTTGTTCCCTTAGTGTTGGTCTGAGAAACGTTGGCAACAGTCTGTAGTCTCTCAACAACCCTGCACTGGATTCAAAAGATTGAAATGAAATTATAATGACACTCTTGAATGAATCTCTTCTCCCTGTGCATTAAAAATACAGGCGAAAAGCAAACGTAAAAAAACCAAACATTTGACGTAGTTACACTTCTTCCATTACGGGGAGTTTCCAGCTGTTACCTTTACACCTAAGAGTTTTAATTCAACTCAAATTGATCTCAATGCGTCCTTCAGATCTATAGTAACGGGGCGGCTAATATGCTAACATTAGCATTGAAGGCTCAACAAGTGTGTTAGCATTAGCCCCAAGCTACAACTGCATTAAAATTACAATGTAAGGGCCAACTATAGCTATTCTGGACACCAAAGTTGTCTTCCCCGCACCGAAAATTTGCTACTCTCAATATTTAACCAAGGCAGCACAGTAAAAGTAAAACAGTAGAAAGGGTATGCAGTACAGATGTGAGTGATCTCTAAGGCTAGGGCAGAGACAGCAGCGCAGCTTACCGGAGTTTCCACACTTCAACTTTAACACAACTTCACTCCCGGACGATCCTGCAAAATGGTCCTTGAAACTCCTCCAAATCTCTTTAAAAGTACTTCCCCTGGGCCACAGGGCATTAGCGGTTCTCACGGCGTGGGAACAACTTGAAAACGTAGTTTGAAATATTTACAATTCAACTTTTCTTCTATCTTTTCGGCCCCTGGATAATTCCGCTATGGCGAAGGGGAAGCGGAACTAACGACCCAGCCCTGTAGCTGCTGCAGCAGAAAAATCAGATGAATGATCAGAGATTACAGATATTACACAAATGATTCTCTCTTTAAAACACAACTGCTGCGTACTGCAAGTCAGGGCAATGGGTGTTAAAAGCTAATTAACATCATCATATTGAAGAGCAATACAAAGATTAAAATCTGAATTTGAATGTTAAATCGAAAAATGTGTATTAAAATGTAATTTGTTAGATGTTTAGAATTCTGTCTTAAATAAATAATTCACGTACTTTTAAAATAAGGAAAACATTTTTTATAAATTGTTCAGTAATGAATTCAGTGGAGGATATACTTTTTTTAAAGACGCCTAACGTTTGCGTTATAAATCACAAACATAATTTAATCCGCAAAGGTATTGAAATAAGCATACAGAAACATTTTAAATATTTCTGAAGATTTTAAGGTAAAATGTAATCACTGAAAAGAATTCGGGATGATAGAAATAAAAAAACGAATCTTGGTTTGGCAAATAGGCCATCCAGGCCAATAATAATTTAACTATTATTGTCTCATTGGACATCACGGTTTGTATTTAAAGATACAAATCTGGTTTGCATTGCACACATAAAATGAGCTGGAATTAAGAAATGTGTAATTCTGTTAAGCAAGAAAGAAAGTATATTCATCTACTGTTGTCAACATTTAGAAAGCAAAATCTGCAATAAAAAAAAAAAAAACCTACCAGGCCTAGAAAAAAAAAAGAGTTGCATTTATTTACATATATTGTATGTACAGTATATTCATTAGTTTAATAAACATCTTAACAAACCTAAAAGATCTAACTAAAGATCTAAGATGCAGTTAAACCTGCAGTTAAAGTTTATAATCTGACACTTGAATCGGAGAAATAATAAACGATCCTGTCACACAGTGTACAAGATTAAAAGTACAAAACCAGTGCAATAATCACAATAAGTTTACACAGTTCTCAGTCCTTTGTGACAACTGGTTACACTGCATTTTCAGATTTTTTTAAAAACAAATATCATCTTCCAGGAAGTCACGGGAAACGCTCCTATTCACTTCTATAACCAGGGAAATTCCACAGAGGTCAAAGTAGGCTAATTAGCTAATAATTCAAAAATAGTTGGCAGAATAACTAGATTATCTGGATCACTGAGCAGATTCAAATCTCTCCTACTACTCCTACTGTGAAACTTTATCTGTTTATCACCTCTGATATTCTTTGAACTTTACAACAGTTCACCATCACCTATAGTTTTTTAAATAAAAAATGTTGTTATTATAATCTTCACTGAACAGTTCGATGAGTCCACATGTATTTGGACAGCACCACACAGCAGATCAACGTCACCAGTAGAGTCCCTCCACATACAGGTAGCACCAATGAGCTGTCACCAACAGGAAGCTGAAAACTCATGTGACCGAGTTCCTACATGATATAAGATATGTTTTGATTAAAAGAATGACAAAAATAAGCAATTAATTAGTACAAAATATTTTTTTACAGTTATGACCTTGGAAAGAACCACCTGAAAATGAACTTTAACCCAAGAACATATGCTTGCATTATCAGCAGTGCAGGGGGCATTCACAACAGTGTGTGGATCCATGTCGCTGAGGTTTGTACCTTAAAGGGAGAAGGTTATGATAAAGTCACACAACAGCTTCAGATAAATGTATCTTATAAAGATAAAAGCTTATATTTCTGAGTTTAGTTTAACAGTTTAATGATGTACAAAACCCAAATTAATAAAAGTGCTGTGCCAGCAAACTATATTAAAATGTAACAAAATTTATTTTGAATAGGGCAAATAAAACCCTAACAAGAGAACAGTATTAAAAGAACACAATTATAATTGCAAAGGTGTGTGAAGATAGGAATTTTCACGAGTTCTGCTGGGACATTTGAGGGGAAGCTTTGACAGTTTTGTTACTGATATGATATGTAAGCCGTTTTTTTCTTTTAGCTTTGCTCAGAAAACCTAAAAAAAAAGGTTAAATGACAGATCAGCCTTTAGCTTTGGCAGATAATTTGTTTTTAATATGGTGCTGATCTGATTTGGACTTTAAAACAGTAATTATTTCATATAAGGGTGGTTCATCTCTATCCAAAGTTGGATATGTGTATAGTACATATGTGGGGAAAAAGTAAATGCTTCTGTAAGTAATTATCTTGTACAGATTTACAGGTGTCTTTAGCTAATCTCAGCGTTCTTTTGATATTGATAACCACAACTAAATACTATATACACTACATTTAACAAACTTAGCACTGTAGAAAAATAGACTGCTTACATTCGTCAGACCGTATCAACAAATCTGGAGCTGGTATGTCAACAGATATGAATGTTTTTCCAACAGCTGATGGCTCGTGGTAGCGTCCATGTATTGGAATTATAACTTTTCTCAGTCTGAGACTTGGCCCATTGGTGGGATACGCGTAGCTGACAAATCCTTCTGTCTTGTGAGCAGGGACTTCCAGATCAATGGCTGAATCTATTAATATCTTACAAGAGGTAAGAAATATATAGTAATATATTTGTAAAAAGAAAATTCAACGTGTCAAAAACTTTTCAACAAATATAATTAGCTGTGTTTATTTATTTTGTCTGATATCAAATATAAATGGTGATTTCAATCATTACTCTCACCTGCCAATTACTGTGCTCTTTCTGGGATGTAACCTGGTATGGATCAATGAAAACGCCCTTTGGCCACTGGTACACCAGCGAAATTCTTATACTACTTGGTACAATAGAACCAAGTTGAACAGTTGTTATCACTTCCCTAAACATGATAAAGCATTTAGAATTTCAGTAATAATTAATATTGAACATTAGTAAACCATTAGTCAAGTTACTTAGCCAGTACCTGTGGAACCCATTTTTGTCCATCTTCACTGACAACAGTGTGTAGTCAAGAACAGACTTCAGAAGACCACAATGACTCTCATTTTTCTCATCTGAAAAGTTTTAATGGACAAGATGATCAAATCCATAAAATAGGGTGTACTTTTTCACTGACATGAAATGAAATTGCTGTATCCAATACTACTGAGAATACTGTATATCTACATTACAGAAGCATTAGCATGAAGATATACTAAAAACCAAATATTGTATTTCAGGATTTATATTGCTATAACTGCTATAATACTTATTTAGATCTTAGCGACTTCAACTACGGTTATACCTCTCATATACAAAAACATATAATAAAGGCTACAGTGTTTAGTTTTAAAGCATTAATCCTTACCTGTACCGACGAAACCATGACATGTTACCAAACAGGTCAACGCAAAAAGCAATGTAAAATACATCTAAATGACAAAATAATTATAACAAATTGTCTATTTTCAATAACATTAAATATTCTGAACAAGTTACAGTCGGAGTCAGACATCTGGCAATATATGTGATTTTACATTTCCGGTCGCCGCACATTAACGTGAAAGACCCTTTTGTAGTTTTTCGGTGGCTTCAGTTTTGCCAAATTAAAAATAAGAAATACATTACAGTATTTGTCTTATAACCATGCTCATTGATCACATTCAAATAAATTGTACCAGAATAATATATTTTTAGCTTAAAAATTTGTATAAATATTTTAAAATAACGCAAATGTATATATTTTGTGGAAATAGAGTTAGGCTTTACGAAGGACCACTATAGTATACGACCTACATACTGCCATAACAAACGCACCACCAGACTGACAACAAAATACAACATTGAACTGTTTTTGAATTTTCCATTACCCTTTTAGATGCTAAAGTTAAAATCTGAATGCTATGTCTTTTGTGCGTTAGTTTTTTGACGCTGGACACCAATTTCCATCGATTTGCGAACAGATATAATGCGTTTCCAGGCAAAGCGATGCGGAGTGCAGTTCTCTCCTCCATCTATAATTTTAATTTATCAACAATTAGATACGAACAAAGTGCGAAAGAGAATTATACCTGTGCGGAATTTCTCAAAATATTCAGGTAAAGAGGTTACTATGTTTAATCTATATACCTCGCTTTACTTCGTTGTTGTTTGTAAACAGCGTAGTACACGCTACACTAAATTTCCAGATTGACATCAGAGTGCTGCTGCTTTTCAGTATAAACATGCATGATTATTGATAATGATAAATAAAACATATTCAGCGATTAGAGACAGGAATGGAATTGCTTGTTTCAAGTGAGATCATTAACTTTTTCCTTGGATTTTAAACCCTCAAGTGTGCTTTTCTTCTGTTTCTAAGATTATAACATGGCTGCAGAAAGACTGAAGAACCACCCTCGGCACAAGGACTATCTCGAGAATGTGTCCCAAGGCCAGCTAGAAAAGCTTCATATAATCCTGCGAGACCACCTGCAGGGCTTCAGCCTGGAGCACAGTTTAGCCTCATTCCACTTAGACACCGATGAAGACCTGAACAAACTTGGCGACGATGAGCTAGCTCGTAAGAAAGGCCAGATGGACGAACTGTTTGAGAAGAATCGAAAGCACAAAGATGATCCCGATTTTGTCTATGACTTAGAAGTGGACTTCAGCAAGCCCACCGCAGAAAGATGTAGCTGGGATGAAGAGTCTGAGGATGATTTTTAAAAGAATCCATATTCATTCATGAATCCCATTTAACTTTGTCAACTGGTTCATCACCATGTATGTGGTAAACAAAGGTTGGTGTTGTTTGAGGTTTTTGGTGTTAAGAAGTAAAAATGGATGGCCATTCTATATCAGTCCACTTGTTGTATAAAGTACATAAAGTTATATTGTATTCTTTATTTTGATTGTTTACCAGTTTGCACCTTGAAAATGGTGGCAGAGGAGGGAGTCTGCAGTCAAAAAGCTTTGAGGGTTATACAGTATAAAAAAAATTTTAATGTATGAACAGAGGTTTTCTAATGACACGGGATCATTAACAGGGAAAGAACAAAATAATTAAAAAAATAAATTAAGGTAAATATTTATTTGGTATAAAATACTGTGTTTACAAAAGACTTTGGCTGTTTTTATTTGTTGCTGCCACATAAATGTGATATTCACAGTTCAGAATGATGGACAATAAAATCTGGTGAAATAAAATTTGTCTGTTCAAGAAAAAACAATAACAAATATATCTTTGGAAATAAAATTGTTTACACAAAATATAGTCTCATATAATATAAAATACACTCCATATATTTTCTAATATGCTTTGAACGTACTGTATTACTGTACTGTGACAAGGTTTTCAAAGTAGAACCAAGCCTGCAGTATCAAATATCTTAAGGGGAGAATTTAATTCAAAGTGCTTAAATACCTCATTTAGTTAAAGAAACACAGGGACAAATTGCCTTGACTGACACTTAGTACCAAAATACATTAAAAACAGTAACAAATTTGTCTACATGATGTTTTGGTCAAAGCTAATCAAAAACAGATTTCTAATATCAGTAATAATTGCAGTCATATGCAGTGACGACCTATTCCCTATGGAGGTAGAAACTGAAAATCTGACATATAATGTATTATATCCACCATTACTTGAATGGATGTCTGTATTTAAAACTCTTATCAGCAGGCTGTTAATTTATCTAAAATAGTTCTTTATAAAACTAAAATTTCAAGTAAGCTAAAGCCAAAATCCATGATTTCTGAGCATGTTAGCATATACATGTGAAGAACATACTAAGGTGCAACTATACTTCTTGACAAAATAACCTAGAGTACACAAATATTATATACTTTAGGTAAATTATTTGGTAGCTTGTGGAAAACTAAGTGATAATCTAAAACAAAGTGAATTGAGTAGAGGTGGAAGAATGCTGCAGATGAGGAGCTATACTCTAAATCTGGATTAGGCTTTTGGTGAAAATGTCCAACTCACCATTTCTATGGGGAGTGTTAAAACATATATTAGATTATTGAACTAACAATTTACAACAAGCATTTCCAAAAAAGGTCTATCTCATTTTCTCTTCTTGTCTTGCGTACATCGGGGACAAAACCTGTAAAATTTGCATGAAACATGGAATAAAGAGTTATTTTGATGTAACAATTTAAAGTAACAATTAAAATAATAAGAGTTTTATAGGAAAAAAAGAAGATCTTTGGATATTGTAAAAATGTGTCTTACCATTTTCCTTTGGGCTTAGTGGTCAGATCCACACAAGCAAAATGAAACCATTCAATTGGACACTGAAGCACAATGGAAACAGTGTTATTTTTTAAACCTATACTAGAAAGGTGAGGTTACAATATAAACACTATAAACACAAAAACGTACATCTGGGTTATCACATCCAATCATCTCCCCATACGAAACCTGATGACATAGGCAGTATGTAGGCTCATTGGGATCGACTGGCATGTCCAACACATCGGAGGGCTGCATAGGCAGGAGAGTGTCACTCAAGCCTGGGCTGAAAGACCAATACATTAAAAAATGCATTAATGCGGAATAACATACTTAAAGTTTACTAAAGTTAGTTTAACTCTTCATATCTTATGGGTATATTGGTGTATTTGGAATATAACATAGTACATGAAATGCCAACCTGTTTTTCATCTTTTTCTTCCTGGGAGAATCTTCATCAGATGTTTTTCTTCCTCTTCCTCTGGATCCACGTTTATCTTTCAATCCTCGCGACTCGTTCTCTATATAATTGAAAAACAAAATTAAAATGTCCCATCATGTGTGTCTGTCTCTGTAATATTTCAATAATGTTGTTTTCAAGTAAATAAACTCACTTTTTAATGCTCTACCTTCTGTACTTTCATAGCCACTCACTTCCAGTTTTTCCTTTAGCTCATTCTCAAACCTTGCAAGATCTGCATCCAGTCTACGAATATGTTTGTCAACCTATGGGGAAAAGATTTGAGGTAGCCAAAGCATTTACAGCATACTTCGCAGAAGAAATGAATGAAAAGTAATTCAGTGTGGCTTTTTTATACCAATGTGCATACACAAACCAAATACCACAATGTCTACTTTAGACTAACCATTTCATAGGTCTGCATAGCTAGTTGGACTTTGTCATCACTGAACTCTTTACACTTGCTGTAGGCATTCTGGATCTTCTGCAGATGTTCCACCCTTTGTTCTGAGGCCAAGTTCTTCACATTTGCGATGTACTCTTCAGCCAGTTTGTCTATTTCTCCTTTCTTTTCTGCACAATGAAAAAGTTATAGTACCTAAAAAAACACTGATGCAAAGGTACCTGGTATGCATGTTTAATATTGTAGAGCCATTATTACCTTCAGTTCTATTGTCCAGATCCCGCATTAAAGTGAAATTTCTTTGTAGCTCACATGGTAGGTTCTCTATACCTGGGAATGAGATAGACATAAAGATTAAAACAATAAGGGTAATGCTTTGCCATGTGGTGAGTTATCATTTCCTCCATAAAGTCAAGATTAGACATAAAATAAATATGTTTGGGTCTTTTTTATGTTTGCATTTTCAACAGCAGACCAATATAGTGAAATGGAAGAAACCAGGCCTTTTGTCACCATCTTTCTCTACTGTTTAAATGTATAATGTTATTAACAGGGTTCGTAAGCATTAGAAATTTTATATTTTCTAAAAGCTGACAAAAAGGTCTTAGTTTTGCACTTATTTATACAAAGATAATACAATAAAAATGCAAAATGCGAAATACAAAAAAGTTTAGTGAGGATGTGCAGTTAAGAAACAGCATGTAAAACAAACAAATCTTAAAATGTAGAATAAAAGAGGGGATAGATTTAAAAAATGTATGCAAACAAGAGATATGTACAAATGTGAACTGTGATAGAATACTGTAAAACATTCAATGCGTACAATTCAAGACACAATTAAACGTTTATTACAACTCAATTAAAAAGGTAATGATTTGCACAAGAAAAACATTTGAACTCCTCGCATGATGTCATTTGAATATTCGGTGCATCATCATAATCTAATGATGAGCTCTGCATTAACTCAGACAACTGTAATTACGTTACGGTTCCACTCACTGTATCACACGTCATGTGCATTACTGTCAGTGACGCACTTACACTCCCCGCCCGGCGCGTAAATGGTTACGGGTGAAGGAAACGTTATCAACAGGTTGCAAATGCACAAATCGATGTCTGCTATCTTTCAGCAATTGTCCGAATCGTTTAAAATACAAGTTTGAAAACAAAACGTTCGAGAAATTTACGTCGCGATATTAAATGCTTTAAAGCCAAATGTTTAGTTTGGGTGACGAAACAAAATAAACACCAACTACCGGGACGCTAACAATGTATGCAACGTATTAGTTTTTAGAAAATTTAAAGCCAACTATAAAATGTACTTACCATTGTGAAGGTTTTCAAAGACTGTTTGTTTTTTAAAGCAGAAGCATAATATTCTAAAGGCCTGAGAGGTGAAGACGGTTAAATAACAGCTAAATGCTAAAGGACTGTATTGCCTGTCCCGCTCAGTGAAAAACTCCGTATACTCAAAGTACATTAACAGTCGGGAGACGTGCATTTGTGTAAAGCATTAATGCAATTGCATTAAACATCAGGATACTTACTGTCAAGATAATGCTCTAAATATATAGCCGTCGCCATTTCCAGTTAGCGCTTTAGCTCCAGCGCAGCTGTAGTTACCTCCAACTGAGCAGCAAAACAGTTGGCTCCTGAAGAGTTGGCGTTGGTGAGCTCGTTATGGAAACCTGGACCTCCCGTTGGCCAATGTTTTGGAAATGATAATCTATATTTTGTCTCCTAATTGAAATGGACGATAATTAGACGCCGATTACTAAAGTAAACAGAGACACTTTCCCTCCCTCCACATGTACTGACTGCGTGTGACTGTCGTGTACACAGAAACAACTCCTATGCTTTTCTTTTCGCATGCGCGGTCGATAGCAGCGGCTGTATTGTGTGTAAACAGACCATGAATATAGATTTTAAAAAATATATATCTGTCGTTTAGATTACAATACGTATTCAGTTTAATTATTCCATTAAGTATTTGCAATTCTCATACAAATGTATTGCTATTATAATGCTATAATTGTATGGCGGTAAAAAAAAATCCGCATTTGTATTTAATCCTCGACTGTGATTTTGTTTATATCCTAATAACGACTGAATTATTTCCCAACAACACAAGTCATTCCACTTCTTTCCTAAAGGTTTTAGAAATTTCCACTAAACACCATCAGCTGATGAGTTGCGTCACAGAGCCCCTCCCCAACCTCGCCTGCTAAAGACTGTCCATAGTCGCAAAGATGCTCGGTTGGTGGAGCTTATAGAAACCGCGACCTAAAGAAATAACACCGAATAAGACAGTGCGCACTGTTCATAGTTCAGGCTTTTCAGCTCAGTTAAGCGCATCACTTTAATTGAGCATCTCACTTCCGTGATCGTAACCACTACGCTCTTCAGGGCTCTGCGCCGATCTTCTAATCTTCAAAGATCATCAAGTAAGAAACAAATAAACAAAACACAGACCAACATGTTGAGAGCTGTTGTTAAACTCTCAAGGAATTATATAGATTACTAACCTTACTCATCTAACTCAGCTCCTAACTGACGTGTTTATTAAACCAAGCTAACTCTCAGTGACATTATTGCTGTCAAAGATAATATGAATTGCGCAGATTCCAGTTGCACTGGTTGTTCGTTAATTTGGCGTATTTAAAACAATACAAACCTTGGTAAAAGGAATATGAAGAGGTTTGTAATTTGGTACATACTATAACGTGACGGCTATCACAGTAAATAATAAGGCTGTTCCGTCCGTTTATTTTTCTGAGTTTAATAATAGACTTTTGTAATGCCATATGAATAACTATAATTGCAATGTTGAAGCCCTCTAGTACAAACAATTGACAAAAGTAGCTCCAGGTATTTTCCAATTGTGTTTTTGTGTGTGTGTGTGAAAGTATACTTAATTTTATAAGCCAATGACATCTATTAGATCACGTGGTGTAGCCACGCCTCTGTCAGCAGACCTTTGTTTTTAGATGGATAGATAGATAGATAGATAAATAGATAGCACTGGAGTTCACTTCGGGAAATTTAGGAACTCCACAATTTTTACATCATAACGAAAACAAAAAGTTCTTTAATGTTTGTGTTGTAGGTGTGCTACTAAGATGGCAATGGTGAAGAGTGGCTGGCTCCATCGACAAAGTGAGTAATGATTCATTTGATTATAATTCATTTGGATTTAGTTTAATTTTCATTGAATATAACTGTTGCACAAATAACTTCTAGGCTTTCATACAAGTTGTGTGGCTCCTTTTAAACTTGTTAATATTTCTCACTTCAATCATTGACTTGGAAACCCACTGATGAATTAGTATATTATTACCTTACTTTGTAATAGAAGTCTTTTGGCATTCTTTAACCTTAATAATTATTAACCAAGTGATTTCTTGTATAATGTGTGTATCTGAAAGATAAATCTAAACAATAGTGCTAGTATACTTAGAGATGTTGTGTTATGTTGTAATTATTGTAAAAATATTTGAAAATACTTAACATAAATAAAATGTTTAAATTTCCAAGATAATTCTGTGTTATGCAAGGTACCATTCTGCGTCGGTGGAAAAGAAATTGGTTTGACTTGTGGGCAGACGGACGACTTGTTTTCTACAATGATGAACAACGTCGTGACATGGAGGATGACATTCACATGAGGGTCGACTGCATCAACATCCGCAGTTCTACTGCATGTCAGGGTAATTATTTATGTGCATAGTGATGTCTGCACAGTGATATACTGTACTCACCAACCACTGTTCATACTTTAACCCTTTGTTTTCATCCATTCGTATGTTGTGTTTCATAGAACTGAACCCACCCGAGGGAAAGATGCGTGATGCTTTGCTTCAGATAGTTTGCAGAGACGGACGAGTCTTGAGCCTGTGTGCAGACAGTGCAGATGATGCTCTGTAAGAAAACACATATGTATATTTATTCAGTCATTTCTGTCTCATATATATACTATAGTCATGTTATAGCAATGGTATTGGCTTCTACTCTTTATTTCAGGGCATGGACCATTGCACTTCAGGGTGCCAGAATTAATATGGTAAATACCTATTACAGTATATAGATGGATTATGTATTTTTATTTGACCAAAATAATCAAGTATTCCCTGACATTTATGGTTATTTAGGGTTAACATATGAGTAAGCCATATTGATTGATGACCAGGTATAAGATTTTAAACTCTGTTCATTGATGATTCTCAAAGGAAATCGCGCCATTTATACTTTTGATTTATATTTTCAGGTAGTTGCTGCTCCTCAGATTGGCTACGCAGAGGAAGTGATTGCATCTGCTCCACCCGCTCACTCAGAATATGCTCCCCCACCTAGGGTAAAAATACATAAATCATGTGACTGTACAGAAAGTTCTCAAACTGTTTTTCTTCAATAAGAAAAAGAAGTAGGAAAAGAGAAGTTAATGCATTTCAATTTATTTTGGTGCCCTCTGGTTCAGTTTTTACCATAATATTTCACATGCACATTTGTTTTCATTATGAAGACATAGTAAATAGCATATATGCTTAGAGATTATTTATATTTTCAGATTAAGATTTGTATTTCTCTGCAGTAGAAAAAGTAAGAACTAAAGTAAAAGAAGTGTGTGGTGATTTCTTTTGGTGATGTCACATTAAACACATGTATTTTGTGATATTATAAGGATGTCAGGAATAAACCAAGGTGTAGAGTCTGCTGGGAATGTTGAAGTAATGGGACCCTATGTGGTTTTAGTTGATACTGAGATCTCACAGGTCAAAATATTTTCTCTTTATTTTCTACCAGGCATATGCATCGGTTCCATATGATGCTGCTCCACCTCCATATGCTGCCCAGATTATGTACTTTACTAATGGCCAGCCCTACGCTGCTGCTTATCCATATCAATATCCAGGTAAATACTTATTTTATATGAATAAAAGCCTATAGGATGAATCTCTCACAGAGAATATACAGTAGTATACACACACATATAATTAACAATTGTAGTATTAAAGCAGTAGAAACACTTACCAGTAACAATGGTATTCATCAGCTATGGTACCAATGCTGTGGAAACGATCCTAAAAGGTAAAGCTGAATCCACTTTTAAATGAATAAACACAGTTGTTCTTGACATCGAAGAAACTGAATGGCACAAACAAAAATATGTTATATTGTACATTTTGGCTGGAGCCTGTTTCAGTCTGAATTAAACTGAATAAAACTCAAATAGTCCTACTTTAGAAACTGGGACAATTTTCAGTGCTAGAAACAAATCCTTTCAAAGCTTACCTGAAAAATGTGTTGTTTCCTAAGGTGGATACCCTGCTCCGGCAGTCAGTCGCGTTATTGTCCGACAGCGCCGTCACAGTGATGGAGGAGACGTAGCTTTGCAGATGCTTGCTGGAGCAGCCACTGGTTTTGCTCTCGGCTCTCTCTTCTCCATCTTTTAGGAGCCCAATCCACAACATCTAGAAGCACAACATTCTCTAGTCTGCTCTGTATTTGGCTTCTTCTTTGTGCCATCACAGGAGTTGGAGTGAAATGTGTCCGTCAGGCTCCTTCTATCAATGAAGCATGATTGTGATGGGCTGGCCAAGCTACGCACATGTTACGCACATAGAATCATAACTTTGTTTGAAACAATGTTACTTCTCATGTGTACATCTGATCCATTCACCTAATGTGTCAGTCAGGTTTATTTAGCACACCTGTTGTTTTGCATTGTTGTTTGTTGATATTATTGTACATATTATATTTGTGTTGTAGCTTTGTTAGCAAAACTAAACTAAAATACCTAAGACAGAAACCAAAGCGAGGCAAATGTAACTGTCCATCACCCTAACTTGATCTGATCATTCATGACGAACACAAGGGTATCGGTCATGTCAGTGTCCTCAATGGACAACGTCACTTCTGCCTGGGTTGTTAACAAAGCTTGATGAGGCAATAATCACGGTTACTGTAGCACATTGAGGTACCAAAGTTGTAAATGGAATATTGGATGTTTTGACCAGAGTTGGTTTAAAATGAAAAGGGATATCTCTGTTCTTATGCTTTATTCAACTTATTTTTTCTCATTCTTAGCTCTTGAGTCATACAGTATTTATTTTGCATGTTTTTTTCATGTGTTTCCTTTTTAAAATGACCACAACAGTTGTCAGGTTATTCATTTCAGAATTTTTCAAGATCTGTTATATGTTAATTTATTCCCCATTAAAACTGTAGATGTGTGTTATTCTATTTCAAACTAAAAGACCTGCATTTGTGAAACTTGAAAATACTAAATATTCTTCAGTTTCAAATAATATAAGCTTTTGCCAGCAGTGTGATGATCATGTTTTTTCTATAGGTCTTAAATTGATCTAAGACACATTTTATTTCTGATATAATTTGCGCCAAATAAGTAAATAAATTATAATGCACTCACGCCTTTCTTTGTGATGAAAAATATTTAAACAAAGTTTTAAATGTGCACCTTAAACTTTATTTGGTAATGTATCCTTAGAAATACAAAATTAAGGCTTTAATAAATAGATAATTATGACCAGAAGATTAAGCAGGTAAGAGGTGACAGAGAAACAGTGCAGGAAGTCTCAATGAAATATAATCCGGGGAAATATTGTGTTCCATAAAAGTCAGTGACTGTATTGATTTAGAAAACAAAGTTTAACGCCTACATTTTAACGCCCTGATACTGGATGCAGCTGTACATCTATACTGTATTTGGTACGTTTACAACAGTTTTGTGTGTATGAGTAAAAACAGTAACAGACAGGTTTTCATAAGAGGAATGATTCCACTCACTTCAATTCAACCGAGGAACCATCAAGAAAAGTAAGAATGATGTTGATATAAAACCTGACAAATGTGCAGCGGGAAGCACTTGATTAATAGTGTAATTTAATTGACTTAAAGCACAGAAAGTTGTAATTAATTAGGTTTTGTTACAAACCGATCCTTTCAAGCAACGCCCACCTCAGTTTGCTGTCATTATCTTAGCACAACTCTATTAGCCTCCATGACTGTTTTTCATTTCTTACCAATATACAAACAGATGAGGTATTTTTACAAGAGAGATTATCATTATATATATATGTATATATATAAATATATATATATATATCAATTCATATCATAATCTATAGCAAGTCCCATAAATAAGAACCACAGATGATAGTAAAAATATTTGGCAGATGCAGCTAATTTCTTGAGTAAAGTGAGAAAGGTGCTACCCTTCTTGACCGAAATCTTCAGTAAACTTCTTCAGTTTTTCCAAGTCCTGCTCGTTCACTGTTGGCTTGGTATTAGTAAGTGACCTCAGCATGTCGGCCTGTATGAACAGAGTAACAGATATATTAAACTATAATGTATAAACATTCAAACAGTGTAAATTGGTACACACCTGTTGTTGCTTCACCTAATAAAAAAGTAAGTCTATTGAAGGTCTGATGCTTAAAATTGTTTTGAACAACACAATACACTAATTAAGACTTGGAACCTGCATTTACTAGTCTTTTAATAGGGCTGCAATCAATGACTATTTCAGTAGTTGACTAGTCATCCATTCCTGTAACCACTTGTTAAACTGAACAGCACAAAAATAGCTTTTTACTTTATGAACTTTGTGCATAACATTTACAGCGTGAAAACCAAGTTTATAAATCAAACTTAAGAGCTGCAGTTGGCAATAAAATTAACAACTTTCCTTAAATATTCTGCACTGTCTGCATGACAAACACAAGAAAGGCGCCTATGAATACAATGCATTATTATTATTAAAAAGCATAACATTTAACGTTTACTCAACAAACAATTGTTTGTTCTAAGAGAGGCAGAATGAGAAACTTAGCCTCACTTCAGTCCCCTGTGCACGTTGCTTCGTCCCCTTCTGTTCCTGGCCACTAGTGCGCATGTGTTGTCAGTGCATCAAAGATTTGGGAAAAGTGAGATGACTCACTCCAGATTACTTCAATTGGCTACGGCAAAACATTTCATTTCGTTGGATTGCATGACGTCGGATACACACAATTATGTCACTCACGATCCGTTGGCCACTGAAGTAGTCGTTGCCTAATTTTGCCGTCAACTGCTTGTTGACAACACGTTCGGGCCTATGTTCTGGTTATTGAAGTCATTCACACTCCTCGTTAGTATAGTGGTGAGTATCCCCGCCTGTCACGCGGGAGACCGGGGTTCAATTCCCCGACGGGGAGGTTGTAATCATTTTGGTTCAATTTTCCCCCGTGTGACGTAAAGTACAATCTATTCAATTTTTTTTGTTGGAAACATATTTTTACTCAGTCATTCAATACATATTACTTAATTTCTAGGTTTAAACGATATGTCCAAAAGAAATCAGTCCTTGCACACACCACACCTAAAATTATATATATATAAAAAACTTAATACATAATTAATATAATATAAAAATCATCGCAAATTATTTATATTCCATAAGGGCAGAATAATAAAAAAATAGCCTTTACTTTTGAAGTCACAAGACTTTGATTGAGTGTGCTGTATGTAGAATTTGTGGTCTTATATAAAAGACTGATGTAAAACAGAACCATTTTATTGTCAGTAAATACATGTGCTATTTAAATAATTCATTATCAACAGTAAAACAAACAGTTAGCACAATAATAAAGTCTCTGTAATAAAGTTCTCATGTAGTACAGCTGATTGTTACACAAAGATAATACAACACATACCTTGGTAACAACTGGCTCCAGAAGTTTCTCCCCAGGGACATCCATCCAAGTCATTTCTACGGCGTTGGGATCTCCCGGTGAGCATGGAGTCAGGAGATCCTCCACAACAATATCTGGATTGTTCCATGTCGATCCTCGTACCTTATTTATTGTGTTTGAGACAGACAGACAGACTGGTTCAGACTGTGTGAAAATTAGGAAAAACATTTCCGTACTAAACTACTACAATACAGTTGGCAAAAGATACTACGTATCCATATGATATGTGTAATATACATTAGTAATGTTTCACTACTGTACGTTTGTTTTGATATTCAGCAGGTGGCCGTTTGCCTCGGCTAAAGTCGTTGTTTTACCTTTTTAAAGTGAGTGGCTGACTGGACCTTCCTGACTGGTTGCATTAAGGCATCCCTGACAATGATGCTGATATCAGCCCCAGAATAGCCCTCTGTCTTTTTGCCCAAGGAGGTAAAGTCGGCCTCTGTCAAGCCATTCGGGGTTGATCCCAGATGGAGTTTAAACATGAAGGAGCGAGCATGCTCCTCAGGCAGAGGAATGTAAATTCGCTTTTCAAACCTGAGACACAGACAAAAGAGTCACTGAGACCTTCTAAAACACTGCTACAATCAAGAGTCAGAACAGTTCTGCCTCTAAACCGAGAGTTGAACTAACCTCCTTCTAATGGCAGAGTCCAGTGTCCATGGTATATTTGTGGCTCCCAGAACCAGGATTCCATCATTATCAACTCCAACGCCTGAGAACAGAATACAAATCCCTCTGTTTATCATCACAGTCTATGCTGCTTCACATTTGAAAACACCTCATATTCCTTACCCTGCATCTGGACAAGGAACTCTGTCTTGATTCTACGAGCTGCTTCACTCTCGTTCTCACTCCTGGAGCCACAGAGGGAGTCGATCTCATCAATGAAAATAATGGAGGGCTTGTGTTCCCGAGCTAAAGTGAACAGGTTCTTTACCAGTCTGGAGAAAGACAAAAGTTCAGAAGTGAATAATATTATAAAAACGTTGTCTTATATCCACCACATTACCACACTGTTAATCCCAGGCCTCACTTTTCACTTTCTCCCAACCACTTGGACACAAGATCAGAGGAAGAGATGGAGAAGAAGGTGGAGTTGTTGGCCTCTGTGGCTACTGCCTTCGCCAGGTAGGATTTTCCTGTTCCTGGAGGGCCAAAGAGAAGGATTCCCCTCCAAGGAGTTCGCTTTCCTAAAATGGTTATGGTTTTATTAAATGCGCTGAAGGGTTTTCTTTTAATCTTGGCAGTGAAAATGAACAAACCTGTAAAAAGATGAGGAAATTTGATTGGCAGGATGACAGCTTCCTTTAAAGCCTCTTTGGCCCCTTCAAGTCCTGCTACGTCATTCCATTTGATGTTTGGCTTTTCCATGACAATAGCCCCTGGAGGAAAGTATTTTAAAATTACAATTAATCTACATTTGTATTAAAATCGAAGCTCTCAGCTATTACATATTATGAATCTACCCAAAGAAAATAGATAAAATACAGTATCTTTTACCTGAGAGCTGATTTTGAAACTTTTTCTTCTCCTGGTCGTCCCCATCATCACTTTCATTCCTGGAAATTTACAGAAACAGTCAATGTTATTAAGTTAGGACTGACAACACTGTGATTTAACTGTTGAAACTTTATTATGTTTTTAAAATTATAAAGTACATAAAATATGGGATTTTTTCTAATTTTCTAGCTACATTTACATTCTCAAACATTAGGTTCAAAATCAAAGAGAAAAAGTGTTAAAGGCTATGACATGCTCCTAAATGGGATCATGTTTTATTTCTGAACCACTGGTGGCAAAATTGTTGACTCAACCTAAACATAGATGTACACAATGTGGGATTTGTAGTACAATATTAAAGTGTTAAAATTAGAACAAAAGTAATCTTTACACAAAAAGTTGTTGTAATGTTGTGGAGTCAGTCATACCCTTTGTCTCCAG